TGTCGATTTTTTTTGTGGTCGCTTTTGTGCTGCTGGGGTTTGCCCTTGGGGGTTCGTTGTGCTTGATTTTTGTGATTTTTGCCCTCAGATCGTCTTATTTTCCATGTGTTCTTTTTCTGGTCTTTGAGTCTTGGGCCTCTTTGATGTGGTTGGTCTATGTTTTCTACTGTGTTGAGTTCTTACTGATCTGGTTGTTGTTGTGGGTGTTTGGACGCAGGACTCAGAGCTTGTGTATTCTCTGCTTTCTGTGTCTGGAACTTTTTTGCCTTGGGCAGCTACGTTTGTGTGTTGTGTTGAGGATTTGATCTTTACTTTCCATGTGCAGCTTATGGGGGTATTCGAGCTCCTCTCTTTGAGATTGTGTATGGATGTGGATGAGGGGCTTGTTTTCTTTGTCGGGTTCTGCGGGAGCCGTCTGGAGCTCTTGGGCTGGGTCTGGGATGCTTCCTGGTGTTCTGGGCGGCTCTGTTTCCTACCTTTGTGTGGTCTTCCTCCTCAGCCCACCATCATCACTGTGGGAATTTTTGCTGACTTGGTTCTTATGGGAGCTGTGGTTGTTACTGTGATGTGGAGGAAGACCTCAAGTAGGGAAAGGAGGTGACATGAGTTTTCCTGTCCCATTGGACGTGGTTCTTGAAGTCACAAATTGGAGCCTTTCAAACTGGAGGATTTCAAGCCCCACACAGGATTTTGCCTGTCTCCTGCCATCTGCACACGTTTACCCAGCCTGGGGCCCTGTGTGCCAACAGTTACTCTTTTGTAAAGCACACATGAAAATGGATGACAAAAATTTTACTTTGATGATTCTTGTGATGGAGATTTGACTGTCAACAATCATAGGTCAGAGGGGAAAGTCCCTGCTGACACCAGACCTCTAAAAGGGTGACTGGTGCAGTGCCCACACCTCCCTCCCTCATGTCTCCAGATTCTGTCCTGAGTCCGCAGTCTCTTTTGGGAACTTCCTGAGGTCTATAACTACCTAGTTCCTCTGGGACCTTGTGGCCCTGATTCCTCCCTGGCCTCTCACTGGACTTTTTTCCCCATGGGTAGAAAAAGAGGGAGCAATACTCAGGCTGCTAGTGAGTGGGGTACACAGGGCTGGTTCCTGAGGCCCTTGGGACAGTGTAGACAGGAGCACATGGGGGAGCTCACCCACCCTACAGTTCTTCCTTTGTCACATCACCTGTGGACTCTGGCCTGGTCTTGTTTTGTTCTATCCCAGGCAATGACAGTGCTCAGGGCTCTGATGTGAGTGGGGCAGAGTGGACTCAGCTGGGCTATGGGGATTCTCTGGATTTGGACATTTGAGGGTATGGTTCAGTGTGTTCAGTGTAAGTTAGACTTACAGTGACTGATGTGTGTTTATCCATGACTGTTTTCTTCTATGGCAAGAGACAGCTACCTATATGAGACTAAGTAACGTAAGACTTATTCATGCCCCAATCTGTGACTTCAAGAACCCATAGTTTCTCTTTCTGCAACTGGCATCTGAATGTATGTGCATTGCTATTAGGATAAGGTGAGGATGTGGCTGACTTGCGTGTGACTTCTCCTCACACTGACCTGTGCTCCCTTTCCCCCACGAATGACTTTCCTGTTCTAGTGGAGCCAACGCTGAGCCATCTCCATCCCTGTCTTAACTCTATATTGCCATGAGCTGCAACTTCTTATTTTTTTATTGAAAGTAAGAACCTGGATATGAATTTGTTCTTTCAAATTAGTGCTGTGGATTGTGAGGGTGATGGTTCAATTCCTAAAATGGGAAAGAGGCAATAAATGGAAGACCTGAGAAGGTTCCCAGAGTCCATGTGTTTGCTGTGTGGAGTCTGTTGCAGGTGGGGACAGGAGAAGGCTGTGAGGAGCCAAGTGTAGCTGAGGCCTGTGCCCAGTTGGTGCTCAGTTCATTCTGGACTTCCACTTGGTCACTTCTTGGTTGGGTCATCTTCATCCTTGTCCCTTGTAATATCTTGTACCATAAGAACCTGTGATCACAGGGACGTGGACCCTGCCCAGGCCTTATCCTGTCCCTAGGACTGTGGTAAGGGTTTTGTGTGGCCAGGTCAGCCTAGGCTCAGGCGTGGGTCTGGCCCTCAGCCCCCACCTTTTTCATTGTTTGTTTTGACAGAGGACTACACCTGTTCTATTCTTGTGTCTGAGTTTTGGTCTCGAAGTCTCAAGTCTCCTTTAGGGCAGCAGTAGGAGTTATTTTTTCTGCCATTGTCCTCACCAGACATGGGGTGGCCCCAGTACACAGGAATCTCTGTGGTATCAAGAGACCAGTTTTTATTTTTTAATTTTTTTTTTTGCAGAGACAAGTGAACATGTATTTTTGTACCTTTCCTCCTATGTGTATTTCAAGTCTTTTTCACAAGGCCCCAGGAATCTCCAGATTCAATTATGTTCCTGGGCCTGTCCACTGCTGCAGGAGTTTTAGGGAGCCTTTACAAATGCTAGAGTTACTCGATTACTAACATTAAACCCTTCGATAGGAGATGCAGCAAACCAGGACTCCTTCCTCCATGGAATGTGCTGATTTCAGACGAGGCGGCAGCCAATGTAGAAAACGCTGTGATTTTTCCTTGGAACTGGACTGTGATGAGAGGTGCTTGCCATGAACATAAGCTACTGTTTTTTCTTTTGAGACAGAGTTTTGCTCTTGTTGCCCGGGCTAGAGTGCAATGGCAGGATCTTGGCTCACTACAACCTCCGCCTCCCAGGTTCAAGCAATTCTCCTGCCTCAGCCTCCTGAGTAGCTGGGATTACAGGCATGGGCCACCTTGCCCCACTAATATTTGTATTTTTAGTAAAGACGAGGTTTCGCCTTGTTGGTCAGGCTGGTCTCAAACTCCCAACCTTAGGTGATCCCCTCTCCTCTGCCTCTCAAAGTACTGGGATTACAGGCTTGAGCCACTACACCTGGCCAGCTACTGTCTTTTCTTTGACCCTTCCTTTCCAGTTTTTAAAGATAAAGCAGGAAATAATCTTCTCTGAAGATACTTAATACAAATTCTCCAATATCCAAAAACGCATGCTTCCACTTCATTGATAAAAATTTATTGCAGTTTGGCACCTGGTTCAAGTTCAGCTGGTAGATGAACTGATTGATGCATTCACCCCAATAGCCAGGTGTGCCCATCTCCTTGAGGAAGCCCACTCTATTTTTGGTAGCATGACAGGCCACTGAGAGGTGGAAAGGGCACAAGAACCATGAGATCTCCTGGACATGCTTCCCCAGGAAGGCAATTTCTTGAATGAGGTCTTCCAAGCAAATGACACCAAACTTCCCCAGGTGCTCCTCAATCACAGTGTTGTCTGTCAGAGGGATGGTCTTATTCTTGACCCTGGCTTGTCCAAGACCAGTTTTTAGACCCATCTGGCTCTTTTTCTTCCAGGGCTGTTTCCTGGATTGTTCTTTCCATCTTTTCCCCAATCTTTTTCAGGAAACCAAATTCTGGAATTAGAGACCAGATACCAGTTTCTCACCTTAAATAAACTCAAGTTAGGAATTTATTTTTGGCTCACCTACCCCCCTCCCTGCCTTTAGCTGTAAGAATCCTAGTGCTGGCTCAAATCCAAACTCATAGTTTCTAGACCCTAATTTAACTCACAGTTAGTTGGAAAATAGGGTCCATAAGCCTAGGATCATTTTTTTCTGAAAAGGTAACTATAATTGTGTGCTGTGGTATGTAAGAGGGTTTGTGTGGGAGGGAGGCGAGAACAGCATTTCTGTTCTCTGTGAGGAAAACACATTCAGCATGGATGTCAACCTGAGCAGTTGTTTCACTGTAACTGACACAAAACAGGATGTGGTCTGCAGCTACATTAATACAGATACTGTTTCTAGAATAGGGAGGTGCCGTACAGTGATCACTCACGTAGCCAATGTTTGTTGAGTGCTGGCTGTATGAAATGCTAGTTTTACATCTGGAAACTAAAAACATGCAAAAATTGCTGGCCTTGAGGGGCATATGTTTTAGTGGGAAAAGGATCACCCTGGCTGCTCTGCTGGGAACAGAGTGGACAGATGAGGGGTGAGTGAGAAAGTGAGAAACTGTAGGACACCAGTGCAGTACTCCAGACTGGAGACGTTGGTTGCTTTGCCTGTGGTGTGAGCAGAGAAAAGAGTGGGAAGTGATTAGATTTCGGACATATTCTCAATATGGACTTCACAGCACTTCCTAACAGATTAAGTCTAGGGTATGAAATGATGTCAAAGAGGAACCCCAAAATTTCAGACTGTGCAAGTAGAAAATGAAGTTGTTGTCAGCAGAGATGGGGAAAATTCTGAAAGGAGCATATTTAAGGAGGGGGCACCATACCCATTCAATTTAGGAAATGTTGAATCTCAGATGTCAGACATTGAAGTGAGGTTGTTGTGTTGGCAGCTGGATATGCAAGGAATTTAGGAGAAATGTCTGAGCTGGGAAAATAGATTTGGTAGTTAATGCCATATTAATGACATTTAAAGCATAGAGCATGCATGAGTCACCAAGGAAGTGATGGCTATAGAAGAGAAAAAGGACAAGGACTGAACCCTGGACCTTCAGTGCTAAGGGATTTCATCAGAACACACTCCACAGCAGACTGCACAGTTCTAACACCACATCTAGATGGTGTATAAATCTGAGAATCTCAGATTTTAGTGTGCATAGGAATCACCTGGACAACTTTCTAAGATTCAGGTGGTCTGGAGTTGAGAATGAGATTTTGTGTTTATAAAAATTTGAGGCAGACACTGATGGTCTTCAAACCACACTTTTAGTAGCCAAGAACGTAGACCAGGATTCCCACCTGGCTTTGCATCAGCCTCACCTGCATCTTGTTATTCCTGGGATTCATGGTCTACTTCTGAGACGGTGGGTATGGGGAAAAGCCTGAGTATTCTGTAACAATCCTACAAGGAATCCTGGTGATCAGCCAAATTGGGAACCACTTTGGGAAGCAATCAACAGGGCCTAGGGTGAGATGGGTTCTTATGTTCACATGTAAATGCTATTTTCTCTAATTTAAACATAAAGGAATTTATCTATCTATCTATCTATATTAATTAGATTGGTGTTTATCTTATTTTGGGAAGGCCTGTGAGAATACGTTTAAGGCTACATAGCCAGGAGCAGAATCTATAATTACACCCTAGGTGGAGTCTCACATAGGAATTACTGCCCCTGATGCCAGGCACAGATGTCACTGTTCATACCAATGAGACTCTAAAGCTGGACAATGGACCCTGCAGACAGAACTGCTGTCACTACTGCTGCTGGTAATTGGACATCACTGCTGCCACTCACACCACACTTAGTAAAATGTGTGCACAGTACCAGCTTGTGTCACCAGGCCAAGTCAGAATCCAGCAAGTGGTTATCTGCCTGGTGAAACCTAAGCCTCATACCACATCCAGCTGCCAGATGTTTGGAAAGTGAATTCATCTCTTTTGTGAAAGGAGTTGGTGTCTGCCTCCTATCATGACTCTGTAAGTATGAAACTCTCCTAACATATAAAGTGGGTTCAGGTGCTGGGACACAGGAAGATAGGGTGGAAAAAGAATGAAAAAAAGTCTATTCCTAGAGCAGTAATCTGAGACTAGAACCTTATCTGGTACATCATAGACACTTGGGTTCGGTTCATGAATGAGTGACTAATGAATTACATCTTTCAACTTATTCCCTTGATAGTCTGTTATGAGGTACAACCTTTTTCTGATCAAGTTTATATTCAGATAAGTAGAGTGGCATTGTGGGATGGTGAAATGATTGCTCAAAACTTATCTCTTGTTAGGGTTTTTTAAAATCTAGATTTCTAAGACTTCAGAGGACCTGTGTGTACACTAAGATTTTATACTAATATTTATATGTCTTTGCATATGCACATATTTTCTGGAAAGAGTATCTGTGACATTTATGTTTTCGTTACGCTATATTAGGGAACCCTCTTTCAAACCACGTTTTTCCTCTGCTCTCACACCACCACAACAATCATCAACACAGAAGACTTCTGTGACCAAAGGTGTCGGGCTTTTTCCCCACACACCAAGCAGTGGACAGCTGGGTGTCTTCCGGTTCAATTTCATCACTATCTACCTGGAGATAGCATCATATCCCACAGACTGGAGGCTTAATCCCCAAGACTACTCCATATCAGATACCAATTGCAGGTCCCAGCCTCTAGAACTTCTGATCAACTGGCTTTGAGTTGGAGTTCCGACCACCCCCTGTTTGGGCTTCACTAATTTGCTGGAGTGGCTCAAGGAATTCAGGGAAATATTTATGTTTACCAGTTTATTATAAAGGATATTACAAAGGATACAGATGAAAATACATGTAGAGTGAGGTATCGGATAGAGCATGGAGCTTCCATGTCCTTCCTGCACACACCTCTCTCCAAAAACCTCCACGTGTTCAGCTATCTGGAAGCTCCCTGAACCTAATTCTCCTGGGTTTTTATGGAAGCTTCATGATGCCAGCATTCCTTCTCCTAAGGTACAGGGTGGGACCCTCTCTGGAGAGGGTCTTAAGACCTATAATTCGAAGGACAGAAGATTAGAGCCCTGCCTCGGGGCAGGTGAAATGAGGGCAGAAAAGAGATTCTGATTCCTGAGGCCGGCCAAGGCCTAATACACCCAGCATTATAACAAAAGACTGTAAGAGGGGAATATAGGAGCTAGGAGCCAGGAACTGTGGCCAAAAACCAATATATAACACCACATGCCCCCACTGTCCTAGTCCACCCAGGCTGCTATAACAGAATACCTTAGACTGGTTGGCTTATAAACAACATAAATGTATTTCTCACAGTTCTAGAGGCTGGAAAGGCCAAGAGCAAAGGTGTTGGTTAATTTCATGTCTGATGATGGACTCTTTCCTGTTTCATAAACAGGTGTCTTCTCCAAGTGGCCTCACCTAGCAGAAAGGTCAAGAGTGTTGAGATTTGGGCAGGTACACAAATCCAACCCATATCAATATTTAATGGTGAAAGAATGGTTGCTTTCCTTCTAAGATCAATAATTAAACAAGAATATCCTGTCCACTATGTCTATTCAATACAGCTAACATAATTAAAGCAATAAAGTATATTCAGATTGGACAGAAAGAAGTAAAGCTATATTCACAGAAGACATGATCTTTTATAAAAAAAAAAAAAAAATTCTAAAGAATCCACTAAAGAGTTATTAGAACTAGTAAGTTCAGCAAGGATAAAGGATCTAACACCAGTATACAAGTCAATTATATTTCTAAACCCTTGCAATAACAAATCCAGAAATGAAATTAAGGAAACAATTCCATTTGTAACAGCTTTAAAGGAACAAAATAGCAAATTTAACAAAAGAAGTGCAAATCAAACATTGATGAAAGAAATTAAAAATCTAAATAAATGTGGTAAAGTTCATGGATTAGAGATTTAATATAACTCAATGATTATATTTCCAAACTGATTTTTAGATTCAGCACAATCTCTAAATGACTTCTTTGTAGAGATTTGCAAACTGATTGTAAATTTATAAGGAAACTGAAGGGACACAGACTATGCAAACAATAGTAGCCTACCATAGTAACCTATCCCCAAATATTTCAAACAAGCTCATACAGTAGACAAGTTCTTGGCAAAACTGGAGCACTTTATTATCAGCCTACATTTTCCAGTTTGCTATTTTTCCTTGTCTCCTAACTGCTGTCTTTTCATTCATATTTTTCTTTGGCATTCTGAACTTGAACTATGAGATTTCCATGCCTCTATTTAGCAGGAGCTTATAGTACAGTATGAAAGTAGGGGGAGAAATCCAATAGAAGGACAATAACAATAGATAACATTATGTGGCGTCTTACGGCTATAAAGCACTTAATGGCCAGGCGAAGTGCCTCATGCCTATAATCCCAGCACTTTGGGAGGCTGAGGTGAGTGGATCACCTGAGGTCAGGAGTTTGAGACTAGGCTGGCCAACATGGTGAAACCCCGTCTTTACTAAAAATACAAAAATTAGCCTGGCATGGTGGCAGGTGCCTGTAATCCCAGCTACTCAGGAGGCTGAGGCAGAATCGCTTGAACCCGGGAGGCAGAGGTTGCAGTGAGCTGAGCACCCTACTGCACTCCAGCCTGGGCAACAAGAGCAAAACTTGGTCTCAAATAAATAAATAAAGCACTTTAACATTTTAAAATCTCATTTGAAAAACTGGATAAAACTGAATTTGGAATTGGGAGATTTGTTTTGGGTCCCCACTCTGCCATTTCCAAACTCAGTACTCTATCAGAACTAAGTCCCAGAGTGCTTGAGGGCTAAGAAACTTTCATCCTGCAGACAAGAAGGAACTGTTATACACAGCCTTTGACCCTCTAGGGACTCCAGCAACCCAGTACTAAAACCTGGTACTAAAAGGAGACTCCTCCAGGTGCAGTGGCTCACACCTGTAATCCCAGCACTTTGGGAGGCTGAAGTGGACGGATGACCTGAGGTCGGGAGTTCGAGACCAGCCTGACCAACGTGGAGAAACCCCATCTCTACTAAAAATACAAAAAAATTAGCTGGACATGGTGGCATATGCCTGTAATCCCTGCTACTCGAGGGGCTGAGGCAGGAGAATCGCTTGAACCCGGGAGGCAGAGGTTGTGGTGGGCCAAGATCATGCCATTGTTCTCCAGCCTGGGCAACAAGAGCAAAACTCCATCTCAAAAAAAAAAAAGAAAGAAAGAAAGAAAGAAAACATAAAAGGAGACTCCTTGTCTCCTTCTCTGGGGACCCTTTTGTTTAGAAATAAAACTTTATCATCATGCTGCAGGTGCCTTGGAGAGAGGACATGCGGGTGACCTTTTCTAGAAAGCAGTGGAGTGAAAGTTTTGGGAAAGTGACAGAAAGAGAAACAAATCCTGAATTTACTGGAAGCTCATTAAAAATCAACTAAGTAAACAAAGATTTTAGTACCTCAACTGAAATATAAGCATAAACAAAGGTTGACTATTACTGTACCTGGACAGGATGAGTAAGAAGGTAAAGTGGTCTGTAAACAGCTATTTCTGCATTTTGGTCCTGGCTCTGCCTGACACAGTTGTGTCTCCAGCAATTAACAAATGTCCCACTTTCTTTCAGCAAGTATCTATTAAGTGGCTAACATGTGCCAGACTCTACAGAACAGGCTTACAGGCATAATACCACAATGAAATAGAAATCTAACAGGCTCCAAGATCAGGCTTTTCAAACAAACGTACCGTAACTTATATATCACATATACATCTGGCACACAGGCACCAGAACATGAGATTAAACATGTTAAAGGACTGTTTATCTAAATATTTTTAAAAGAAAAATAAAACAAAAACTGGAAACCAAATGACACCAACAGAATATATAATTTAGTTGTGACATATTCATGTCATGGAAATGAACTACAGTGTCACACATCAACATGGATGAATCCAAAAATAATGAGCAAAAGTAGTCATATACAGTATAATTCTATTTGTATAAAGGCTATAAATAAGCAACTATTGGGGATACATAGTAAAAATCTATAAAAGCTAGGTGACAATTATACAAAACTCAGGATGGTGGTTGCCTCTAGGGGTGGGAGATGGAGATATGAATGGGGAGAGCATAGGAGGCTCCTGGGATGTAGTAATATTCCATTTCTCAGTCTGAGCAATGGGCACCTGGACATTTATTATTGTTCTTCTAAATAAACATTTTCATTTGTATATCCTATTTCACAATAAAAAGAAAAAAGACCCCAAAAAAAGCATTAAGTGTGACTAAAGATTTAAGCAATAGTGCTTGGGAATATTATCGTATCATGCAGACACAGTGCAAGGAAATGAAAAGGTGGATATAATTTGTGAGGTAGAGATGATGGGTTCAGGTTTGCACAAACTGAGCTCCTGAAACACAGACTTTTATTCTTAGTCATATTAGGTATGAAATTGCCCTCAGGTCACCAGTTGCTTTTATGCTAGATTTGGAGGGGAAGAAGGGGAGTTGTGCAATTTATGTGTCCAGCTCTGAAAATCTTCATTGTAAACAATTACTAATAGGTCATATGTTAGGTTACTTTTCAGCCCCAGTCAGTTCAAAGGATTTGTCATTACCCTACTGATTTGTACTTCTAAGTCTTCTGCCTGTTGCATTCTGGTGATCCATTTCTAAGCAAGATATAGAATCTAAAGCTAAGACATAGTGATAGAAGGCCAGAGAACAGACACAGCAACAAAGTTTGCATGATGCAAATCAGGAGGGTAGGAATGAGATTTTGATAGGCATCCTGGCCAAATTCCAGAACTAGCAAAGAGAAGGCCAGTTCCTAATTCCAATCAAAGCAATTCAGCCCTCATATTTTCACACAGAAGTGGTCTACCTTGATTTTTAAATCTCTTGAAGGGATTAGGGAGCCTCTGAAATATAAAGAAAACTAAACTGATAGTAATGTAAAATGAATAGTGACCTATCATACCAGCAAACACTGTCAAAAACAGAAAGATACTGGTGGGACCGGCCAGAGTCTAGAACACAGGAGTTATGTTTATCCAGTGCCATACTGTACAACAGAGCAGTCACTTGCCACATGTGGCAACTTAAATTTAAATGAAATTCAATTAAGCATTCCATTCCACAGCTGCACTAGCCACATTTTAAATGCCTCAATACCCACATGTAGCGAGGACTACTGTACTGAAGAGCAGAGACATAGAACATTTCTGTCATAACTGAAAGTTCTATTGAACAGTGGCTGACCTCACGATATCCAGGGTAAAAGGTGTTCTGCTAGTAAAGCAAGATGGACATCAGAATTATCACAACTTAAGCATAATGTTCCTGATGACATCCATTTCCATTTATTTGCATCTCTGCTCACCAACTCCGGATTCCTGCTTTTCCAACTTTCTGGTATGTTGGAAGAGAATAACTGATTAGAAAACATAAATTTCATTCATTTTACAAGTGTAATTCTCACTTAAATTTATAAATTTCCTTTCTGATTTATCAATGAGTGCTGAAGGCCCGAGTCTGAGAAAGGCTAAGTTTGATTACCCCTGAGTGGATCCAAACATTAGGAAGGTCTTGCTTAAGTGGGTGATAGAAAGTAACAAAAAGAGCTGGAAGGAAGGTGAGAGACTGTTACACTCCCTTCTCTAACCTTTCTCCTTTTCACCCTGCTCACCTGAGCCAGGTTAGAATCCGTCCTTTGTACAGCACCCTGTACCTTTCTATTGCAACCTTTACTACATTATGTTTGTAGAGTGATCTATGCCATTAGTTGAAAACTAGTCAAGAGCAGAGACTTCTCTCTTTATTCACCTTCAGTAACTAATACAACACCTACGAGGAAGCATGTAGGAGGCTCTCTAAGTTTCTCATACAAATAAATTGTACGGGGCAAGTTACATTTTTAGGGCCTGGCCAGTAGTTCTCTGATGAAGGTATGATATTAAAGACAATATAGTAAACGATAGCAAACTCATCAAAATAACCCTTGGAGGGCTGGGGAGCAGGGAGAATAAAAGAAGCAGTTTAGAACAGCTCTTTATTCACCGTCATCGCCCAACCCCAGTCTTCCCAACTGGGGATACTAACAGTTATGAAACAACTAATATATACCTACACTTCACAAAAACAATAGTCCTTCCAAAATGCTAGCAAATATTACTATTGCCACTTTAAAGATGAGGACACTGAGGCTGGGTACTGTGGCTCATGCCTGTAATCCCAGCACTTTGGGAGGCCAATGTGGGTGGATCACCTGAGGTCAAGAGTTTGAGACCAGCTTGGCCAACATGGTGAAACCCCATCTTTACTAAAAATACAAAAATTAGCCTGGCGTGGTGGCATATGCCTGTAATCCCAGCTACTCGGGAACCTGAGGCAGGAGAATCCATTGAATCTGGGAGGTAGAGGTTGCAGTGAGCTGAGATCACACCACTGCACTCTAGCCTGGGTGACACAGTGAGACTCCATCTCGAAAATAAATAAATAAATAAATAAATAAAAGGGGGGGGTGCTGAACATTAGAAAGGATATGCAACTTGAACAAATGCAAATCAACTAAAAATAGTTAAGCTAATTTGCAAGTCCAGAACTATCTTATATATCTGATACAAACGGGAATATCCACTGAACCCCAGGGAGAAATAAGAATGAGCATTAAAAAAAAAAAAAAAAAAAAAAAAAAAAAAAAAAAAAAAAAAAGGTTCACATAAGAGAGATAATTTTATCATAACAGCATTGAAACTTTAATCTCTTATTTTTCCCATTTGACTTCTTAAAAAGGGTGGCATGGTCAAGAATTCTCTTTGATATGGTTTCAAAATTGTATTCACTTTCTCTCCATCCTGAGACTTTTCCATAAGAATATTCACCTTAATCCGACTTCTACTGCATGGCTGAAAAAGAGGATACGCAATAACTCTTTCCAACTCCTTTACCTCTTTCTTTACTCTCTCATGCTTCTCATATGTAGGTAGTTGGCTCTGGCTTCTTCTCAAGATTCTTTCCTTGAGTCTTTGCTCTGTAAGTGCTCTCCCTCGAATCATACGTTCCTGGTGATCCTTAATTTGCATCTGTTCCCTCTCATTTACCTGCTTTCTTCTCTGTGCATTCTGGATGCCATGCCCTTCTGGCATAATTTTTGGTAATTTTGTTTCACTGGGGAGTTGTAGTACTTGTCTAAATGATTTGTTCTTAGATTTTCTAGCCTGTCCTGTACAATGTATGTGCCTTTCTATGTGTTTCATCTCTCTCTCAGGTACCAAACAGTACTGTTTTAGTCCTTCTGTGCTTTGGGTTGTTTTCCCCTTCATTTTTTTCTTGATTTCATTGCCGGTCTCTTCTTTCATCATTTCCAGTATTCTTTTATGATAAAAAGACTCTGCTTTGGCAAGCCAGTAGTCAAGAGAAAGAGCTTGCTCCCTACAGAGTATTTCATACTCATCTTGATATTTCTGAGTTATCAACCGTCTTGCTGCTGTTGTATGCACACCACCCAGATTCTGTCAAAGTGAAGTCAGGAATTTATAAAGTGATCATCTTTTTCCTTTGAGAACACATTTAAACAAGATCCGAGCCCACCCTCCCTACGGACACCAGGAAAAGCTAGATGCTTTTTTATTTACTTTAGCTTAATAATTATTATTTTTATTCCCATCACTCCCAGGTGAGCCTGTGAGCTCTGAAAGTATGAAGTATTCACTACCACAAATCAATAACTAGTTTTAAAAATGCATGGTGTTGGAAGTTTTCAAAATGATTCTTTATTTCACAGCTATGGTTATAGCTGGGAAACATTTGCCAGTGTAGACATACTACCGGAATGTGTCACTTGGGCAGAAGGATTTTAAACCTAAGATTCCTCCTCTGTGTAGTTCTAAACTGTATGATATGAAGATAGTTTACTTACCAAGATCATTTTCTCCAGTGGAGACTGCTGACCTGCAGCAATCCTAGGATCTTTAGATGAAGTAGCCCAGGCCAATCTGGAAGATAAAAAAAACAAAGGTAAATTAAAATGTAGGAGGTATCAGAACAAAGCTACTAATAGGCAGGACTAGAGCATTTCCCATTTCCCCCATGGGAAACCAGTGCATTCCTGTGGTGGAAAATAATGAATGCTCTTCTAATAAGAGGATCTTTCCTTTCATATGAACAAGGATACTTTTCCTGTGGACTCAGCGTGAACCACTGTGAATCTTGTATTAGGGATTGTGAATGAGAAGAGACACGCTCCTTGGTGAGGTGTTGTCCAAGTACATCTGTGTCAGACTGCTCAGTCCTCAAGCCTCCTCTGTGTTCTGAGATGATTCTAGGTCCTAGTTTTCTAGAGGATTCTAGGTTTCTAGTTTTCTCTTTCTGTAGTTTCTTGATCTGAGCCCTCTCTGCCTATATCAGCACATGCAGCATTTCTGCCCTCTAATCTTTTGTTCTGAAATTGTGCTTTTTTTTTTTTGAGACAGTCTCGCTCTATTGCCCAGGCTGGAGTGTAGTGGCGCCATCTTGGCTCAGGGCAACCTCCACCTCCCGGGTTCAAGAAATTCTCCTGCCTCAACCTCCCAAGTAACTGGGATTACAGGTGCACACCACCACACCCAGCTAATTTTTTTTGTATTTTAGTAGAGATGGGGTTTCCCCATGTTGCCCAAGCTGGTCTCTAACTCCTGGGCTCAGGCAATTCCACCTGCCTCAGCCTCCCAAAGTGCTAGGATTACAGGCGTGAGCCACTGTCCCCAGACTGAAATTCTGTTGTTATTTAATTGCCCGGCCCTCTGCTTGCCTGCCTTCCAATGCCAATCATCCTTTACCCTAAATCCATCATAAAACTGTTCCCTGTTGGACTCCTCAGGATGGGAATTTGTGGTTACTCTGGGTTTATTTGTAGAGGAGGCTGATAGCAACACAAATGAAAACTATCAACTTTTATGTGTCATCCCTGGTCTAACCTGAGCGTACTGTGAGGTCATATTTAAGTCACTAAGGATGTCTGGCATTTCCTCTCTGTGCCTTTTATACCATTTACAGTTCAAAGGATGGGCTTTAGAGTCTGACAGGGCTAGATCTGAATCCTAATTCCACCACTTCCTAGGTGTGGGACTCAGGGCAAGTAAATTCTGTCAGCTTTCTCATCTATAAAATGGATATGTAAGACAAAAATCTGCCTCTCAGGGTTATAAAGAACAAATATGAATTCAATGTAAAGAGCTTGGTAAGTTCTCAATTAATTCTGTCTATCTGTCCTTCACAGGTCAAGCTCCTGACTATAGTCTTTCTGGTCTACTCCGTCACTGTGATTTTCCCTTCCTCTAAACACTTGATATATTTTATTTCTACAACTCATTTGAAAATTTACCATGACTTACACTGTGATATCTGTATTCATATATCACTTTTAACATTTTGATGCTGAAATTTAGGCTCATAAGGAGTGAAAACTGTAATCTGTATCTACAATTATGATGCTTCTATATTATTGGAAAGGACCTGATATCAAATATTTGGTCTCACTGACCTCTTAGGAACATTCTTATTTGCCTATGTAAGCTTATTTTGGGATTTAAAAAGTGTGATCTTCTTACTTTTACTTCTCTGTACACGGCTTCTAGCACAGTACTTAACATTAGAGTCTGTGATCCCAAGTTCTCAAAATTAATGATTTGTTGATTTCTGATGATCCCTGACACATAATATCTGAACATCTTTTTAAATATTTGCCATAACATTGTATCTATCTTTTTATTAAATCATTTCCCAGTCCTCCTTGAAGTTTACAGACATGTTTTCTTTATATGCATGTTCTGGGCTCTCACATTTTGTACCTACTAGCACACGTTTATTGTATTCTAATTACTCATTTCATGTTCATTGATGTCAGAGAACACAGATTTCAGCTTTGCAGCCTCAGCTCAAAACCTGGAATAGTTGCTCAATAAACACTTTATTGAATAGATTGTGAGCTTTTGTTGGAAAAAGGATATGCCTTTTAATGCTGTGTTCCTTTACTGAAATTCACAGGGGATGTTGGCTGTTTTTCAAATTAAAAATAGAAAACTGAGAAGGGTGGAAGGCTAATTTCAAGTTCCATTGTCAAAGGAGGCAGACACACAAATAAGTGAGAATAAAAACTGCCTATGACAATCAGCTCAACAGCACATCTCCCTTTGTAAGACGGACAAAATAACAAGCAATTTCACAGTTAAGTGATAGGCCTTGTCACTCTTCAGCAGTTGGTTGAGTTTTAACCCTTTCACTATGGTGTTCTTTCCGTTATTACAGAGAAAGGCAGATGGGGGCCTCTTCCAATGAAAGACTACAGCTTCTGTCCTTCACAGGAGAAAATAGTGATGGCTCCAGAACTTTTAAATGAAAGTCCTTAGTACAGCTATCAGAGTGGGTGATGATGGGAGGCCTAGAAGGAAACCAGGAAACAACTACAAGCTGCCCCTTCAGGGAAAGTTTCTACTTAGAATATAAGTTAAAGATTAATGAAAATAGCAAGATTTTCCAAAGACACATTCTCATGTTTTATAAAAGATCAGGGAAATGTCAACTGTCCACTTAACGGATGACAATAATGATTTAAGAGTTCGATAGCTGGCAGGCACAACTAAAAGCCAAACGCGACCTAAGTCTTATGAAATCCTATTTAATGAGCTCCCTGGACTACTGCCAGCCTCATTTATCCAGCAGGAGTCCAAGGAGGGGAAGTCCCAAGCTTTTCTGCTCCACCACCCCCAAAGTCCTGAGCCCCTTCTCAAGTGTCCCACTTCATCCCTGCTTCCTTTCATCCACTGGGACTAGACCCCACAGGGGCCAAGGCAGGAGTCAGAAGCCTCAGCCTATTTCCATATAAATAATAAAGAAGAAAATAACTAGAGATATAACCACAGTAATTATTTAGTATTTATTATTTAGTAATTATTTAGTAATTATTAGTTATTCCTAGGTAATCTTAATTATTCACAGGTGATCTTATTCATAGGTGATCTTAATTCTTTTACTAATGCCTCTCAGGTCTCAGGTCCGGAAGTGAGAACCTGGGGTGACATTGTGAGGGAAATGACCCTAAGGCAAGATGTTCTACAGCCCCGCTACGCCCACATGAGGGCTACTAGGGCCGCCTCGGCTGTGCTACAGCGTTGGTACTGAGAAAATGCCCGCTGTTTAGCCAGCTAGGGAAGGTGGCATCCAAAGATGGCTGAGACGTCTCATTCCCCGGAGGAGTTAAGAGAAAACTCCGCTCCTCCAAGCTCTTGCGGTAGGCCTGACAGCTGTCAGGTAGACCCACAGACATCCGGGGGCTTATTTGTCTCTATGTGATGCTGTGCTTCAGTGGTCACATTCCATGTCCACTTTCATGTTCTACTTCTGGACCAGGTTCCTATTTTCTTAGAAGAGATAATCAGTAAGAGTAACACAAATCTTGGCCGGGCGTGGTGGCTCACGCCTGTAATCCAAGCACTTTGGAGGCCAAGGTGGGCGGATCACCTGAGGTCGGGAGTTCAAGACCAGCCTGACCACATGGTGAAACACCGTCTTAAAAAAAAAAAAAAGGAATATAAATCTTAATGTCTGTTCTTTCTTAACAAGTATGGAAAAGTGTTGACGCATTAGGCTCCTTGCCTCATCCCGGCTCCTAGAAATTTGTGGGTCCCTACCTGTATGATATGTGATGTACTTCACCCTATCACTGCTATGCCCCATCTACACTTCCCCCGGTCGCTGACCACCAACCACCAATACCACACCTACTTACCCTGCCCCCAGCTTTGTACACAACAAAAGTCAGAATGTGCAGATACGGACGGGGCCACTGCCCGACTCTGCGATCTGGATGGCAGTGAACGCCCCACCCCCCACCCCGCCATCCCGCCCAAACTTTCTGTGTCTTGTGTCTTTTATTTCTGGTTTCTTGTCTCCACACCAACAGAGAGGGGCTCACAGAGCCCTGTAGGGCTGGACCCGATACTTCCTGACTCCACCCTCACCACTTGCTGTCCCTCAAGAATCCGACTTACCCCTTATAAGCGGCGAACGGTTCCCAAAGCACACGAGGCTGGTTGCGCTCTGCAGAAAGCCCACGCTCGCCGGCGGGACCCAAGGAACGCTAAAACTTTACGTCCCAGAACACTTAGCTTTCTTTTTAACTACTCTGCAGCCGCAAAAGGGAAATACCGGCTCAGGATCAGGGTAGTTGTAGTTCTCTAATCCAAAGAAATCAGTATTTTTAAATATGATTTACGGCAAAATACGGTTTTCAGGGGGATATCCCCCGGGACTCGGTTCCTGTAGGATGTGAGACAAAGAATAAATATCCCCAGGATTGGGTGCTGATGGGAAAATCGGCTGGAAGCGCATCATTGGCTACCAGTTTTGTGCTCAACGTCTCAGCACTAGGGTGAAACTCGTACCGCAAACACCCTTCGGAGAGGTTGGGCTCCATCTCTAAGGCTCCCGAGACACGGTTCGCAATTAATTATGACGTCACAACCAATCGTCAGCCCGAATGCGTGACACTCTAGCTCGCTGCTCAGCCGCGGGCGCAGAGCTGCCGCTCTAGCCCACAGAGTTGGCTGGCTCCTCTCGCCGGCCCCAGGAAAGGGTTCCAAGTCCTTTAGTACCCGACGCTAGCTGGTAAGCCATTCCGGGCGTTTCAGCTGCCTGGTCGCAGAGGCAGGAGGCGTGCATGGGAGGAGAGCTCGGGTAATATACTCCCAGGTACTGGGACAGAATAGTTCTGACCTCTGTGTTGGGGGGATTCCTCTCTCTTTTTGTTAATATAACTTCTAACTCCCTCCTCAGACCTGACCGCACGTGCGTCATGGACCTCGCCAGCACTTGCTCCAGCTTTCAGTCGGACTTGGATTTCTGTTCGGAGTGCGGCTCGGTCCTGCCTCTGCCGGGGGCTCAGGATACGGTTACCTGTACGCGCTGTGGCTTCAACATCAACGTTCGGGGTGAGAGGCTTGTACGCAGTGGTCCTGGCGGAGGGCCCAGGGTCGGAAACTTGGGGACCTCAAGATCGGTTGGGTTCGGGAGGGGACCCTAGAGCAGGAGATCAGGCAATTGTACGTTTGGTCTAGAGATGAAAAATGAAGGAAAGGATATAGGGCTTCCTGGCCTAACCAGCCAGGGGAGAGGGGAGGTTTCCGGTGTCAAATCCCTCTGGTTGTCTCCGTAACCAGCTCTTACTTGCCTGTGCAGACTTTGAGGGGAAGGTTGTGAAGACTTCAGTTGTGTTCCACCAGCTGGGGACAGCCATGCCTATGTCGGTGGAGGAAGGGCCTGAGTTCCAGGGACCTGTGGTAAGTTAATGAGCTCAAGGACTGGCTCCATAAGGTGGGTAGGAAAGAAACGGGGGAGTGATTGCAGAGATCTGGAGAGTTGTGTGCCCAATTCCAAGAGGGAAAAGAGATGTAAAGCATCGATGTTTGAGAGGAGTGATCGCCTGATTCCTGTGGGAAGTAAGGGGATATGACCAGGCCTCCGTAACCCACCAGTTTCTTCCCAGGTTGACAGGCGCTGCTCTCGATGTGGTCATGAAGGAATGGCATACCACACCAGACAGATGCGTTCAGCAGATGAGGGGCAAACTGTCTTCTACACCTGTACCAACTGCAAGTGGGCATCCCTTCCTCTCCCTCTGCTCAGTCTGTTTGCTAACTAAACAAATCCAGTGATTCTGTTGTTGTTGTTCTAAACCGCTGTTTCCTTTTGTCCCATTTCTGTGCAATTCTGGTAACAGGGAGATTTGTGGGGGTTTTTTATTTTTTAAATTACACTTTTTTAACTTTTTTTTTTTTTTTTTTTTGGAGAGATGGGGTTTCTCTATGTTTCCCAGGCTGGTCTTGAACTCCTGAGCTCAAGCGATCCACCCACCTCAGCCTCCCAAAGGGCTGGGATTACAGGCATGAGCTACCTTGCCTGACCTACTTTTAGGATATATAAAAGGAAATCAAAAAACAAACAAACAAAAAACATAAGAAGCAGGTATTGTTTAGTGGTCAGCATCTTATACTGCAGTCTTCAACTGTAGTCAAGAAAGCTTTACATTGGAGACAATTAGTCACGCATGATTTAGGGAACATGGGCTTTCTGAATTCTTTTAAGACGTCATCTTTGGTGTCCTTCAGTCACTATAGTATATCAAAATGTGATTTTTTTTATTATTATTATTCTGTTTGGGATTTGTTGCACTTTCTGAAACTGAGAGTGAATTTTTTTTTTTCATCAGCCTTGGAAAATTGTCATCATCTCATTTAATATTGCCTTTTCCCCATGTTCTCAGTCCTCACATTCTGGACCTCTAATTAGTTACTAGAAGAGAGGTGTCTCTTTTGTCCTCCATTTCTCTCACCCTCTTTTCATATTTTCAATTGCTTTTCTTTTTATGCCACCTTCTGGGTAATTTCTTCAGGTCCCTCTCCCATGTCACTAACTGTCTTCAGTTTATTTCAAATATCATTTTTTATTATTACTTTGAGTTCTGTTTAATTACTTTTCAAATCTCCTCAATTTTTAAATAATTCTCAGTTCCTTAATCATATTTTAAATTGTTCTTTTATTATTCTTTATATATTTAAAATATTAAATATGGTTATAATATTCTATGTCTCATAAAATCCATGGATTTTGTCTTCTGATGCTGCTGTCTTTTGTTTCTGCTCTCTCATGGTGCCTTTTTTCTCTGTTTTGTGATTTTGTCTATAAACTTGAGTTTTTTAGAACTTGAACTGTAGGAATTCTTTGAGACCTTGAGTGAGTGCTGTATTCTCAGCATTTGTATTTCTTTTCCTTGAAGCACTATCAAGCTGGAATTACTTTAAATAAATTCTTGGCTTCATGTTTTTTGGAGCAGACAGATAATATGAATATGAGCTGCAAATCCATGTAAGGGTCAGCTTATAGTTAGAAATTATCAGGGAGAGTTTTCTCTCCTTCTGCCTACTGAGACAAATTCCCCTTCTATAGAGTTGAATTTTTTTTCTTTTTTTGTTCACTTTTACAAAAAAGGGCAGCTCTTTGCAGTTCCTAAATTTATGCAGGGAATCTCCTGTCAGACCTTATACATTTTGTCCCTCATTTCCTATGCTTTCAGTGACTATCATAACAGTATCAAGGGCACCATAGTGTCACGTTTCATTGGGACTTCAGTTTTCACTGTCTGGATTTCTGGTTTTGCATAACTTTTACCAGTGTGAATTTTACTTTCTCACCATCTCATCAATGGATTAAAAATATTCATAGTCAGATATATCTTTTAAGAGTATTTTTTCCGGCTGGGCACGGTGGCTCACGCCTATAATCCCAGCACTTTGGGAGGCCGAGGCGGGTGGATCACAAGGTCAAGAGATGGAGACCATCCTGGTCAACAAGGTGAAACCCCATCTCTACTAAAAATACAAAAATTAGCTGGGCATGGTGGCGCGCACCTGTAGTCCCAGCTACTCAGGAGGCTGAGGCAGGAGAATTGCTTGAACCCAGGAGGCAGGGGTTGCGGTGAGCTGAGATCGCACCATTGCATTCCAGCCTGGGTAACAAAAGCGAAACTCTGTCTCAAAAAAAAAAAAAAAAAAAAAGGTTTTTTTACAAATCACAGTTTGTTTTTTTTCAAAAAAAAAAAAAAAAAAAAAAAAAAAAAAAAAAAAAAAATTTTACCAAAAAAAAAAAAAAAAAAAAAAAAAAAAAAATTTTTTTCCCCCCAGACAGTGGTTTCCCTATTTATTTTCTTAACCATATCTTTATATGAGCAGAAGTTTTAAGTTTTTATGAGGTCCAGCTTATCCCTTTTTATTTTCTTTTACAGCTAGTGCTTTTTGTGTCCTAAGAAACCTTTGCTTTGAGGTTATAATTCAATGGATATATTTTTAATCCCAGCATTTTTAGTTGTCTTGGAATTGGAATTGGAGAATTATTTAAGGGAGCTAGTCCTCAATGATGTCGTAAATAAAAGTCCTTCCTTGATTATTTAATTGCATATCTTATCTTATACTACTAGAAACTCTTCTTTGGGTGAATATAACAAGTCCTTTCTTTCCTCATAGGTTCCAGGAGAAGGAAGACTCTTGACCTTTTTTGTGGGCAACTCAACAGTCCCTCCCTCCTTTTGGAAAGTGAAGGATTCTGGGTTCTTCAATGCCTTGTCCATCCCGTCTGGTTGCAATGTTTTGCTCCCAGAAGAGAATCAGATCATCATGTGGGGATTATCATTGTTCCCAGAGTACTCTTGCCTTTAGTTGAATTTCCTTATTAAAGTTATATTTTTCCATAAGACCCTGACATATGTATGTTACTTATAATCTACCTTATTTCAAAAGGAATTTAAATGAGTTTACAGAGATACATGAAAGTGAAAAGGGGGAAAAATAAGGACAAAAAAGTAGAGTCAGAAATGAGGCTAATGTAAACAAAAAGCAATTATAAGTATTGCCACTCTACTTAAATCTATTTGGTTCCTGAATTTAGGGTAAGAAAAACTAGGAATTTGGGTAGTGAGACATTTCACAGAAATTTTAACCAGATCTCTTCAGCATATAAATTTGGACAACAAAAAATCTGATACCAGTAATATCACTAAGTGATCACTATAGGTAGATATTTTGTTACTATTGAGATAAATACAATATACAGTTGACTCTTGAACAACACGGGTTTGAACTACTTGAGTCTACTTATGTGGATTTTCTTCCACCTCTGATACCCATAAGATAGCAGCACATTTAAGCCCTCCTTTTCCTCCTCCTCAGCCTACTCAACATGAAAATGTGATCCACTTCTACTTAGTGAATAGTAAATATATTTTCTTTTCCTTATGATTTTCTTAATAATGTTTTCTCTAGCTTACTTGGCTGTAAGATTGCAGTATATAATGCTATACAAAACATGTTAATCAACTGTTTATGTTATTGGTAAGGCATCCAGTCAACAGTAGTTAAGTTTTGGGGGAGTCAAAGTTATATACGGATTTTCAGCTGTTCAAACGGTGAGCACCCCTTATCCCCACGTTGTTCAAGGATCAACTGTATAATAGATTCTTATATAGTAAGATAGAAAAAAGTAAAGTCACAAGCAATCCTACTCCACAGAGATAACCAAATTATACAGTGTATCTGTGCTTATACATATATATGTGGCTCTATATATGTGTGGTGCTATATATGTGTTTGGTTTTTCTTAATGGACTATACTAGATATGCTAAACTGTCTTGCTGTTTTCTGTTTGGACCAAAAACTTTCAAGGGGAACAAATACATACTCAGGTTCTGCATTCTTGGGCTTAAATGGCGACCAAGGGGTTACAGTAATAATTACCACATAATTGTGTGGCCCTTTATATATATTCAGAGCTCTCAAACATAGTTATCTTGTTTGACAGCAACGTGGAGAATGGGCAGGGCAGTCTTTCCCACTGTACATTTGAACTGTTGCAGCAGTTGACTTTCCTGACCCACTCCTGAAATCTGAAACAAACCTATTCACGTTTCTACCCTACTTTAAGCCTTTCTCTGGCCCATAACACTGACTTGATTAAGCCCAAGTTTCTTAGCAAAGTATTCAGGTCCTTGCATACAACCACTGCCTACCTGTCAAGCCTCATCTGGCAGTCCCTCAGATCCAAGCAGTACAAAACTCCATTTCCTGTAGTGCGCACATCTACAACTTTGTAAGCTGCTCTCTAAAACCTACTTGTCTGCCTTCCTGGTCCTTGTTTTACCACTTTCTTTTGCCCTCTTAAGAAATGTGCATATATCTTTATAAAATGGTCTATACTGTAATTTATGACCATTTCTCTACTTCATCCTACTCATCACCCCAGAGAGAATGAGCATGTTGGCAGTAACTAAATTCAGATTTACAGATCAGACTTGGCATTTGTTAATGCCCCAATACTTCATATTTTTGTCAGTTTTCAGCTTGCCTATCTTTCCTACTAGACTGGGAGCTCAAAGTCAGGGTCTGAGCGTCTTACGCGCCTGCATCTTCAAGGCGTAGCACAGTGACTGGAAAAAAAAAAAAAAAAAAAAAAACACATTGAACGTGCACTAAACTGCCCTGCTCAAACACCTACAGGCACAGGGCGAGGGCTAGGACCCACATCGCTTGAGTCTTAAGTGTGTTTCCAACTGCTCCCAAGTTCCCTTTTCATTAGAGAAACCCAGACGAAACAACAAGGAAAGAGAAATAGGCCACGATAGGGTCTATATTGCTCCTCAAGTTTCCTCGCCCGTCCACTCACCCAGACAGGATAAATGGACTGCGGCAGGACTCAGCTTGGTGCACACACCCCGCCCTCGCCACACCCACTATGCAGCTTCTGGCCCGGCTGTACCCATCTGAGCGCCTCTCCTGCTTCCTCTAGGCTGTGCGAGCGCCAGCCGCCCTTGACTCTCGCTCCGCCCTCCACACCCGCAGTGATACCCCTTCCGCCAAATTTGTTTCTCTTTTTTGCAGCGCCTGCGCGGTGTCACGTTACGGCGGAACTAATCCAGCGACGCCTGCACTTTGACGCATTTGGTGCCGGGGAAGGGAAAAAGGAGGACTGCAGAATGCGTCACACCCGGAAGCAGAGAGCCGGAAGTGGAGTTGGCCAGGCTATCCCGAGGGGTGGAGAAGCGGAGGCCCAGGAGGAGGGGGAAAAAAGAAGGTGGAGGTTCCTGGCTACCACTCTGAATCCGATACCGCTTCTCTTAGACCTCAGAGACAGAAAAAGGGAAGGGTGTCTCATCCTCCTTCCTCCTCTCATCCCTCTTCTGAGCCTTAGCCATGGCCGAGGCAGGGGCTGGGCTGAGCGAGACCGTCACTGAGACAACGGTTACCGTGACAACCGAGCCCGTGAGAAAGGCGGGGGGCGGTGCTGTTTAGGGGTCTGGGAGATACTGGGAGGGAGGGGACAGGGATGAGAAGAGTTGCTGGAGTAGCTGGGCCTGGGGATATGGGAGGTGTATGGTTGGATATCTGGGGCTGGGAGAATCGGAAGGTATTGGAGCTGTTTGGAGTGGCAGAGGTGGTGCAGGAGGCTGGTCAAGAGACATGTAATAGGGAGGTACAGTTAGGATATGGATGTATGCCGCTTGGGTGGTCATGTGTATAAATAATGAACGAATGGGAAATTGAGGGTTAAGGAGCCAGGAAGATGTTGGGAGGAAATCAAAGGTAGTGTAAGATAACATGGTTGGAGGCCAACTTATCAATACTTATCATAAATATTTGTTGAATGGATGAATGTAAAAGGAAGTGACAGGAATGAGGAAACAGGGAAAGGAGATGAAAACAGGAATTTTGAGAAATCAGAGAGCAAAGATGTAAATGGAGAAAAAAGAAACATTTTTCCAAAAACATGTTAAGTTGCCTTCAAAGGGAGAAGGTTGCATTGGGCTTAATACTCTTGGATTAAAGGGAGTTTAGTAATTAATAGATTAGTAATACTCACTACTAGAGATGCCAGGATGCAAGGGAATAGGTGGTTAAGAGGTAGAGAGGGCTGGAGCTTGAGAATGAGAGTCTTTTTTTTTTTTTTTTGTTAATGGGAAACAGAATACAGGATCTGGAAAAAGGAAAGGAAATCAAAGATTAGGTGTTGGGGACTGAAAAATAATTTTCATGTATTAATACTACCAAGGATGATTTGGGGAGGAAGACGGAGAAACAGCAAGGATTATATTTTCCTTTGAAGAGTTGCTGGGACCTTCCCTAGGTTAGGAATTGAATTCTCTTATACTGGTGGTATAAGAACAGGAAATAATACTTATTCCTCAAGGGACTCCCTGAGGTCAAAGATCTGTTCTGTTTTATCTTGTCTCAGCTCCTCTGGTGCTATGTCTATGGAACTAAAGAAGAAAAGAGAATAGGTTCCCTGGGAGGGAGTGGGAAAGATCAGTAGGAAGGAACTAGAGAGGTATGCCCATCCTTAACCTTCTAGGAGAACCGGAGCCTTACCATCAAACTTCGGAAACGGAAGCCAGAGAAAAAGGTGGAATGGACAAGTGACACTGTGGACAATGAACACATGGGCCGCCGCTCATCAAAATGTGAGTAATTGTTGGCCCACAGTAGCCCTGGAGTTCTGGCTCCCTTCGGCATATCTTGTATCTACTCATATCCACTGGCTTTCCAGAAGCCCCAAGATGCTTATAATTCTGTCACTTTTTTGGTGGTTCTCTGGTATCAGGGAAAAAGGTTAAGGGTTGAGGGAAAGAGGTAGGGAAGGGCTAGAATTGGAATTGCCTAGGTCTGCCGGCAAGAAGTATCAGAGGTGGCAGAAGTGGGGCTTTGACTTCTTGGTTCTCTAAGAAGACAAGTAGGCTGGGGCCTGAGTCCCAAGGGGTGGACCTAGGGGAGCTGGATCCTGGAAGATAGGAGGAAATAGAAATTTTCACTGAGATTGAGTTGAAATGGAACTGATTATACATCTTACCCTTCCTCTTTAACTGGGCTCCTCCCTCTAAATCCAGGCTGCTGTATTTATGAGAAACCTCGGGCCTTTGGTGAGAGCTCCACGGAAAGTGATGAGGAGGAAGAAGAGGGCTGTGGTCATACACACTGTGTACGTGGCCACCGCAAAGGACGGCGTCGTGCATCCCTGGGACCGACCCCCACCACCCCTCCCCAGCCTCCTGACCCTTCCCAGCCCCCACCAGGGCCAATGCAGCACTAAATTCCTCTCTCCCCCACCATTCCTGTGTCTGTCTGGCCCTGAATGTATCCATGTGGCTACTTCTCCAGCCCCTTCCTTCCCTCTCTTCTGCCTGATAGAGGGAAGAGGAAGAGAAGAGTGGACAGAGATCCTGGAATTCTGACTTGCTGCTATTCCAGAACCCAGGCTCCTGGGTTCCCCTAGTCCTCATTTTTCCTCCCGATACTCACCCTTTTCTCTCGAGGGATCTAGGCACCCTGGTCCCAGTCTCTTCCTTCTGTTCTCACTGCCAAACTGCCTGTCCTGGGATCTAGTTATCCTGGCCCTACACTCTCAACTTGAGTAGTGAACACTTAAATTGGGTTTTCAACAATCCCAGCTTTCACTGCCAGGGTCCCTGTCAGATTCCAGGAATTCGCACCCTAGCTATGCTTGCTAATCCTGGTTTAGAGCTATCCCACTAAAATATTTAATCCAATTCTTAGTTCTTGCCTGTGAGATATGAGGTCTTACAGGAGACCTCAGGGCTCCCAGCCCTTCTCCTTTTGCTAACCCTCCTCATGCCCTCAAGAGGAGTTAGTTAGAAGAGAGGTCCTTGCCATTCTCACCTCTAATGGAAAATGGAAAGAGAAATAATCATATCCTTTCTTCCCACCCTTCTCCTGTGATTTAGGATTTCTGACAAAGCTGGCTTGAGATTGATCACTTAGAGCCAACTATCTACTCAGCCTTTTGTTTTTCACCTTCAGAGACAAATCCAATATAGTCCCAGGGACCTGGGGGGAAAGGGAGGGAACAAAGAGATGGGGGTATATCCCCTATACTACACTCTTACCTCTTACTTCCTAGGCTTTGATTTCTCTACCAGTCCAGATGTTCAGTTCTCTTGGCCCTCCCTACCCCTTACTGGGATCTGGTTTTCATTTTCCAGTCCTTCTTGCCATACACAATTGCAGAGATCAGTCAAATCCATACCGCCACTGAGATCTCATTTATTGCCACAGATGCACAAAATAAATAACCCAAAATCACAAAATGTGTTAAATATGGGCCCATTTATACATTTTACGGAGAAGGGCGTGAGACTATACACAGGATGAGTTTGGGGATGTCTGAAGTATTCCCAGGTTGAGGAGGGGAGAAGGGAAGTAGCACCTTTGGTTTCTTTCTGTATGTCTGCAGAGAAGTTTCAAGAAAGTTCTTATGGAAAAAAGGCTGTGAACATAGAAAGCAGTCACAGGAGGTTGGGGAACTAGCTTGTCCCTCCCCACCCCCTGATCGCCCAAAAGGGTTATGAAGCTTCCTAGAGGGTCACAGGGCCCAGACCAGGGTCAAGCCTCTTGTTTTAGGAGAAACCTCAGTGGACAGGCAGGGTAGCCCTGTCCTTAGATCTGTGGGGAAAGTCCTGAGCCCTTCTTTGGAGCTAAGAGAGGCAAGAGTGGGAGTTAAGTATTTGACTAGCAGAGCCTCTGTGTAGGAAACCCCGTCACTTTGCCAGTACTGCTGCGGAGGGCCTGTTCCCCACTGCAGGCCTGGAATAGTATAGCAGGGGGAAGTCAGTCAGGAAGTACTGTAGTAGCTGTCGGGGAGAGAAGATCCTGAGAGCCAGGGAGCAGGAATGGATTTGGTTTTGAGCAGGGATGTGAAAACCTGGAGGCCAGCTAAGGTCTTATTATTTTGGGAGAAAAAATGTGGGTTGGTATTAATACTCCTACAATGGGCGTGTGAATGAGCTCCCTGAAATGAGAAGGGAATTCTACGCCCAAAAACAAGCAGCCACAGGGCCAGTGGCCGGGCCAGACTTCTAGCTGGAGACGAGACTCAGCTTTCCGCTGGTACAATGCGGAGTAGGGCACGAGGGTCACGGGTGCAGAACAGCGGGAAGATGCGCTCTCCCAGGGGACCGGGCGCCTGGAAGGCGAAAAGCAGGTCCAGTGAGCGGCCGTCGTAGAAGGCCACACGGCCCCGCTCCCAGTCCAAGTCCACGCGAATGCGCCGTGGCGGGGACTCGGCGCTGCCCAGCGGGGTGGGCTCGGGTGCCGTGAGGGCCCACAGGCGGCCGCCGCGGCCCTCCACTGCCCACACGGCCCCCGAAGGGCACAGCCTCACGCGGCCCTTGCGTTGCACGGATTCCCCGGCGGCGCCCACTGCATAGTGGCTCTCCCCGTCGTCCTCATCCTCCCCAGAAGAGTCTCTGCAGGAGGCTGCGTCCCCAGTCTCCACTTCCCAGCAGTGGCGGCCGGCCCCGAAGCCCTGCGCGCCCAGCACAGCCGGGAGCTGATCGAAGCGCGTGGGGGCATCAGGGGGCGAGGGCGTCCCTGGTGGAGCCAGTTGGACGCTGCGGCGGTCGGCGGAGATGAGCAAGCGACGGTGTGCGGTCCCAGGGTCCAGGGTCAGGTCGGCTGAAGAGGGGGAGGCAGGGAGAAGACCTCATGAGAGAGTTTTCTAAACCACAGTTGGGGTAGGGTGGAGAATAGTCGACGGAGAGCATGTAAAAGACTGAGTGCTAGTGACCCCACAACAGCCCAAAAGGACCTAAAAGAAGGAAGGCATATGAAGAGCAGGCCTGGGCAATATTGGACGTTGCTCCGATGCACCACTTCTGTAGAACGGAACTTGGGGAAGGATCATACCGGCCCAGGCCGGGGGAGCACATCAGGAAGATCAAAGGAGAGGATGTGGGGTTGGGGGAGGAAGAGTGAGGCTGATCTGACTTCAAGGGAGGAGTGAGGACTGATACCTCAATCTGCAGCATCTGGGGTGGAGCATGGGAGCTGGGTCAGCAAAATGGGGATGGCTCATTTAAAGAG